AATCAGGTTAGTCAGGCAGGACCTGCCTTTGATGAACCCATGCTGATTGCCCCTGAGCATGATCTCCCCTGCAGGCCCCCCACAGATGTGCTCCTTGATGATTCTCTCCAAAATCTTCCCGAGCACCGAGGTGAGGCTTACTGGCCTATAGTTACTTGGGTTCCCCTTCCTCCCTTTCTTGAAAATTGGGACCACATTAGCCAGTTTCCAATCCCCCAGCACCTCGCCAGATGACCACGAATGCTCATACAGCCAGGCCAAGGGCTCCACGATGACCCCTGCCAGCCCCCTCAACACCCTTGGGTGGAGGGCATCTGGACCTGCAGATTTAAAAATGTCTAGCCCTTCCAGAAGATCCCCAACTACATCTGCGCTGACTGAAGGCCTGACAGAGCTATCCCCAAGATTGTCCCTACCCCTGGTAGGTGGGATATCCCGGTCCCTGTTCAAGAAAACAGAGGCAAAGAAAGTGTTAAAAATATCAGCTTTCTTGTCTGGTGTAGCCACAAGATTACCATTTGTGTCTTGCAGGAAGCCTACATTGCCTGGTGCCCTCTTCTTGCTCCCAATGTACTTGAAAAAGGACTTTCTGTTGTCCTTAATCCTGGATGCTAGCCTGAGTTCCATCTCTGCCTTGGCCTTCCTAATAGCCCTCCTACACTCCCAGGCCGAGGAGTACTCCAAATCATAGAGTCATTCTTCCAGGTCAGCCTCGTAACATTTTGACAAGATAGTGTGCAAGGCCAATGTCCATATTTTATCCACCCTAAGACTATGTGCAGATATTCAGTGCTTCAGACTGACAGTCCAACAACTTATGCTTGGCCTACAGTGCACTTTAAAAAAAAAAATCTTAAATGCAGTGCTCCAAAGCATCAGGACTATATACACAATTGAAGCAGAATTTTTAAAAATCATTGCACAGCATGATCTTAGATCCGGTTGTTTGCCAAACTAAGGCCCTGATATGTCAAGATATTTAAGGGTATGCGTACCTTAACATGTATAAGACAGCAAATAAAATTTAATGGCATTCCTAGCATACTTATTACCTATGAGTTTGAGTATGTGTTGAATCAGGCATACTTGAAAAATGAATTTATCAATTAGCCTTCCATCTACAAATTCTTCATACACACCCACAGATGCAACACTCACAAATAAAACCAACCCCATTTAAAGATGAATCAAATTTCAAAAATCAAATCAGATTTCCCAAGCAAGCTCAGACAGAATAGAAAGATTATTGTTGATAATTATAACATTTAAATCCTCTGGATACATTAGCATGCAGCAGGGTTGAGGGCCACACAGATAAACAAATAATGTGAAAAATAGCATTTATCATCTTAAACTAGAAGTCACTAAAATAACAAACCATCAAATGAAATGTGATTAATTCATTAAAATGTAATTCACACTATTTTCCTGGGTACTGACATATCTCACAAATGTCAAAAATTAATCATGTGTGTTGGTTCCACAGTTCTTGATCCCATTAAGTGGTCACTCTGCCTGGTCTCAGGCCTCTAGCTGTCATCTAGGCTTGTTCTTCCACTCTCAGGTCGTTTATACACATACTGTTCTGTCCCATGAGGTGCCAGAGATCTGCAGCTTTGGAGCAGACTCAATTAAGCGAGTCTGCTCCACATGCAATCTGATGCACACTGCATGCAGTTGTGTAGGTGGTGAAATGCACATCAGCGTGCAGAAAATGGTGGCGGTGCACTTTTGAACTAAAGCACTTTCTGTGTGTTTTAGTTAAAAAGCGCGCCGCTGCTATATTTCTCAGCATCGACACGCATTTCACCACTTATACAACTGCAAGCATCACAGCACCCGGCACTGTGGTGCTTACATGTGTAAAAATGCCCTCAGACTCCAGCCCCACAGCACTAGCTGCTCTTACTGCAGTAGGTCTGATTTAAGCTTGTTCCATTCCTTGCAATCTTCTTCCCTCCAAGTGCAGTAACAATGCCTAATACAATGACCTGACAACCTCTTTAAAAGCAAAATATTACTTCCTTAGACCAAAAGCATTTTAGAGAAAAGCTCTTATGAACAACAGAACAGACAGTAGACATGGCTCTCTCTTTTCCTCATGGCTTATCACTCTTAACCCTGGCTGTTCTTCTTTACATTCCCTCCAGAGTCCCTGTCTCAGCATGCCTCCCTAGGCTCTGACAAGTGAAGCCACAAATTCTTCCTCTAAAAAATGCTTTTTAATTCTTTAGTCTTCTTTTGATCGCAAGCATTTAGCTTTGGCAAAACAAGGTTTGCAATTTATGAAAGACATGATCCTCAAAAGTTAATAGCTTGCCTCACTGTCCTTCAAATATGATCTTGGTTATAATTATCTAAATCTATTGTGTGGGTTTCCTGTATGTTCTTCTTGCAATCAACTATAGTCATATAGGAACCCTACCTCACTGACTAGGACATACAAGTTTATGAAAAT